TGCAATTTGTTGCAGGTTTTTTTTTTGTGCTGACTATCTATTCTTATACTGGGGTTGAGATATCCCTGTCCACTGTAAGAACAGACCCATGTCAGACTCTGTTTTGAATTAATTGAAGGTAATTAGTTCATCCCTACTGGGGATAGAAAGAGTTAGACTTACATGTATACAAAAATAAGGGTCAGTTTTTGAAGTCCCGTTTTTTCAGCAAAGATTAAGGGATATTGACAAAACTTGGTTCTTCTGTATTTGGGAGTGGTTTTAGTTAGTCTATATAGATGGTATCGGTCACTTTGGACAGAGGATTGAATTCCTTAGGAGAAGGTTGTATTTAATTAATGTAACATATCCTTGGTAATAGTAAATCAAATGAATCTATTGTTATACAAAGAGAGGCTGATGTGGAAAGTCAAAAATGAAATGTAATAAATTTATTAAGGAAAAAATATCTTACATTGTTGCTGAAGTATCCAATGGAAAGACTTTTAGGCACTCTGGACCTATTCTCTAAAAAAACAAAATTAATTTGTCATTATATTTAAAGGTTGGTTGGAAAATTTGTTTGGTGTTTCTGTGTTCTATCTGATAGACATCAACAGGTAATCTTGCACAAGTGATCTCAAAGAGAGCTTTTTTATTTCAAATTTCATCTTTATTATATGAAAATATACAACAAAGGATTAGGAAACAACAAGTGAATAGGCTTAAGTAGTTATAAGTTAATATATATATATATACACTTATTAATACAATAGTAACATATGTGTCTGGACATATCTCACACTTATTGGAGATTTTCAATACATTTTCCACATCTATATATGTTTTTTCTCTCAAATGTACCACATGTATCACTACTTGTATATAAATTAGGTGTCAATTTTTGTTCATTTCCCACTCGTATCGCTGTTTCTATATATATCACATGTCATTTTCCATTCATTTCCCATATGTATCGCTGTTTCTATATATTTCACACGTCATTTTCCATTCATTTCCCACATGTATCACTGTTTCTATATATATCACGTCATTTTCCATTCATTTCCCACTCATATCACTGTTTCTATATATATCACATGTCATTTTCTATTCATTTCCCACATGTATCACTGTTTCTATATATATCACGTCATTTTCCATTCATTTCCCACATGTATCACTGTTTCTATATATATACATGTATATCACATGTCATTTTCCATTCATTTCCCAAATGTATCACTGTTTCTATATATATCACATGTCATTTTCTATTCATTTCCCACATGTATCACTGTTTCTATATATATCACGTCATTTTCCATTCATTTCCCACATGTATCGCTGTGTCTATATATATACATGTATATCACATGTCATTTTCCATTCATTTCCCAAATGTATCGCTGTTTCTACATATATCACATGTCATTTTCCATTCATTTCCCACATGTATCAGTGTGTTTCTATATATATCACATCATTTTCCATTCATTTCCCACATGTATCACTGTTTCTATATATATATCACATGTCATTTTCCATTCATTTCCCACATGTGTCACTGTTTCTATATATATCACATGTCATTTTCCATTCATTTCCCATATGTATCGCTGTTTCTATATATTTCACACGTCATTTTCCATTCATTTCCCACATGTATCACTGTTTCTATATATATCACGTCATTTTCCATTCATTTCCCACTCATATCACTGTTTCTATATATATCACATGTCATTTTCTATTCATTTCCCACATGTATCACTGTTTCTATATATATCACGTCATTTTCCATTCATTTCCCACATGTATCACTGTTTCTATATATATACATGTATATCACATGTCATTTTCCATTCATTTCCCATATGTATCGCTGTTTCTATATATTTCACACGTCATTTTCCATTCATTTCCCACATGTATCACTGTTTCTATATATATCACATGTCATTTTCCATTCATTTCCCATATGTATCGCTGTTTCTATATATTTCACACGTCATTTTCCATTCATTTCCCACATGTATCACTGTTTCTATATATATCACGTCATTTTCCATTCATTTCCCACTCATATCACTGTTTCTATATATATCACATGTCATTTTCTATTCATTTCCCACATGTATCACTGTTTCTATATATATCACGTCATTTTCCATTCATTTCCCACATGTATCACTGTTTCTATATATATACATGTATATCACATGTCATTTTCCATTCATTTCCCATATGTATCGCTGTTTCTATATATTTCACACTTCATTTTCCATTCATTTCCCACATGTATCACTGTTTCTATATATATCACATGTCATTTTCCATTCATTTCCCATATGTATCGCTGTTTCTATATATTTCACACGTCATTTTCCATTCATTTCCCACATGTATCACTGTTTCTATATATATCACGTCATTTTCCATTCATTTCCCACATGTATCGCTGTGTCTATATATATACATGTATATCACATGTCATTTTCCATTCATTTCCCAAATGTATCGCTGTTTCTATATATATCACATGTCATTTTCTATTCATTTCCCACATGTATCACTGTTTCTATATATATCACGTCATTTTCCATTCATTTCCCACATGTATCGCTGTTTCTATATATATACATGTATATCACATGTCATTTTCCATTCATTTCCCAAATGTATCGCTGTTTCTACATATATCACATGTCATTTTCCATTCATTTCCCACATGTATCAGTGTGTTTCTATATATATCACGTCATTTTCCATTCATTTCCCACATGTATCACTGTTTCTATATATATCACATGTCATTTTCCATTCATTTCCCACATGTGTCACTGTTTCTAAATATATCACGTCATTTTCCATTCATTTCCCACATGTATCACTGTTTTTATATATATCACATGTCATTTTCCATTCATTTCCCACATGTATCACTGTTTCTATATATATCACACATCATTTTCCATTCATTTCCCACGTGTATCACTGTTTCTATATATATACATGTATATCACATGTCATTTTCCTTTCATTTCCCACATGTATCACTGTTTCTATATATATCACGTGTCAGATTTAGAACATTTCCCACATGTATCCCTGTTTGTATGACTTCTAAATATTATCACTATTGGTACATTTCTCACATGTATTAACATCATACAGCTTCCACATACAGACAAACTCTTATGAATCAAACTTTGATGATTCAATTTTTTTGATGTATCAAAGTTTTTGTCCTGTTCTGAATTTTTTTCCTGTGTATTACTGCTAACTTACCCCTTTATGAATCAGAGTTTTAAAAATCAAAGTTTTTTCACTGACCTTAAGTCATTGACACCTCATGATTCAAACAAATCATTTACCTGTACTGTACAGGTATTTTCGTCCTGCAGTAAAATTTCACACATTTCAATGAAGAGTCCTACACTAGGTTTACAATAACCCACTGTCATAAGCTCAGTGTTACAAGGTTAATTAAGGACTGGACACAGATCAAAATTTCATTGCTTACTAACAACCAATGATAGTTAATCAAAGATAATGGGATGTCGTGTGATGTTCACTGCCGCCATTGGGGTTAAGGCATTTAGTTAAGTCTAATTTACAAAATTTTGAAAACAATCGAAGGAACTCCTATCACTTGTATGATGATTTCACTCATTCCCAAAGCATCACTTTTTAATTTTAAGGATAAAAGCAAAATGAGAAACATGGTGATTTATCAGTCAATCATGCATTCTCCAAATGATTCAGACTACCTGTCGTCAGATCATCGACAAACATTCTTGTAATTTCTACAACCAAAGATTTGAGATGTTAGTGCTGTCTTTTCCAGACAGAATACATCATGATATTAATTTGCTCTCTTTTAAGTTCATTAATCCCTATAACATTTATGTATCAGTCATGAAATAATTACTGAAACACTTGAAGGCCACTTTAGTGCTGTGCGTCATTTCATGGAAAAATTGATCCGTAAAATACATATACTATGTGACAGAAAGGCAGGAATGTAAATGTAAGCACACATTAGCAATTTCTCATTGATTTCTATTTGAAGTCTCTTTATTTTCCCCATGGATGAAAATGTTTCATTTTAAGATGAAATGCATCTTTTCATTTGAATTTGTGTTTTGATATTTATTGTTTTTGTTCAGGTAGAAATATCATGTCGTCAGTTATATATAGTCATGAACATGAAAACATCAATATATCCCCCCTCAAAATGATTCAAAGTCTCAGTTTATCAAAGTTTTTTTGGTAGCCCCTTGAACATCAAAACATCTCCCAAATATTATCACTATTTGTACATGTCTCACATGTATTAATATTTATACATTTTCCACATCAATCACTGTGTGTACATCTCCCAAATATTATCACTATTTGTTCATTTCTCACATGTATATAAGTAAGGTAAGCTTATTCATTGCTCATAGAACCCACAACAGCTTGTGAGTATAGTATCAAATAGTTAAACCTCAGATGAAGATCTATGGCAAGGTTCTATCTCATGTTAGGAGGGTTTGTGTTCATCATGGAACTGAAATCACAACCTCTTTGTGCTGTTATGTCTGAAATGGCAAAACATTCGTGCTCTTGTTCTGGATCCATTATGGTGACCCAGGAAAACAATTCCCTCAAAATGACCATGACTGCATAGTGATGAAGTGGTTTTCCCAGAAAGCAATGAGACATTGAAGTGGTTGCATGTACATTATTTAGTATCAGTTAGTAATAACCCACTTCATCACCTTACATATGACCCTACCTTTTCCACACAAATTGTTCATTGAGTAAATGTCATGTGTATTTATTTCACAGAATTGATAAATGATAATATATCAAAAGTCGTTACCGTAAAAACCTTTGTAATGGCTTCTACTTGCATAATGTGCTCACCTAAAAACTTCTGTCAAAACTAACACATCAACAGACCAACGATATAAAGGACGAAACTTGAAAGTATTCTCTTCCAAATATTTTTCCATCTCATTTATGGACTTTTAATACTGTTTACTTGTATGACCTGACAATTTTGCCATTGGGATATAAATTTCTCTGCTTCCAGTTGAAACTTCTCTTCCTTCTCTTCCTTCTGCCGATTTCTTTGTGTCTTCTTTGTACTTGCAGTTCACGTTAAATCTTGATTTCCAGGAATTTTTCAGTTTTTTATTTCCTTTTGCTTGGTTCTCTGAACAAAGTTTGAACTTTGGAATCCTATGTGTATCTGTCTCCATATATTGTGAGTTCACTCGCACCTCTTCCTTGTTGTCTTTTTTGGACCTCTTATGGCAATTGTATGTGGAGACTTGCACTGTTTCCTTTTTATCAGACCTCTTCCTAAAATTGTAATAAAAAAAAGGAAAGAAAAGTTTACAATGCAGAACTGTCTAAAGGATTTGAAGTTTAGTTTGACATTATTCCTTGGAATGTAAGGGTGCTGACATCATTTATTTGTTACAGAAGGTCATGATCTCTTTCATTACCTCAACTAGGATTCAAACCTGGGACCACAGCCTCAAATCTCTAATGATGAACTGACTAAGCTAAAGAGAAGTTCTCTCTAGCTTCTTAGTATAGTGCAGATAGTATTTTACCAGGGATATACATAACAATACATTTACAAACTTTTTCATGAAATTTACAAAACAAATACATTTGTACATTATTCCGAAACAAAAAAAAAACAAAAGACACAATTTCTGACATTTATGAAGTTCACCTTTTGTACAGGTAGATAAGACATCCGAACAGCAGCAAGCTTAGAGCAGCCAATAGTGCTGTAAATAGAAGTCACAATTTTTTAATGACATAATGTTTAAAACGTTTTTAGGTTCTACTTTCAGCAAATATCAGCATTCACAGCCCTTGACAGGAATATCACTAATCAGCACTATAAATATTGGATAGGTAGACTAGATAGGATGGGATAGGACCATGTCATGTGTTTCAATGTTTAGTTCAGACAGATAGCGGATTTCAATCAAAATAGAGAAATTGAGGATGTAAATTTTAAAATGTCTTTACGTTTTTACTGGTGGGAATATGTTTCTTTAATTCACATTGTAGTCTGTTCAGAACCAATGTCTTAAGAACCAGCAGATTTGATTTATATTTATCCCATGATAATTCTAATGAGCCTAGGAATTGGGGGATTGATGGAGACATTGTTATGCCACACACCATTTGATAAGAGGACATGTTATTTAGTCTGTCATTGTTGTATCTTGAGAACATCTCAACATATTTGGTTCATATTTTATCATAACATCAAATTCTATACCTTATTGTTTTATGTGGTAATTTTTCTAAGGTCAAGGTCACATTTGACAAAGGGTCAAGCTCACATTTGACAACTTCTATAGATTTATCAACCAATGATTGGGACTTTCCTACAGACATTTTCTACTTTTTAGATCTCAGTGTAGATCACAATAATTGGGACTGAATGTACAGTAGCAGCAAATTTGCTTTTGCTTTAACATGAAGAAAACTTACCGATTGTGATAATCCAGTATATTTCTGGGATGATATCTCGTGGAATCGGTGTTCCTGGGTTGGTATCTGATGGATTAGGTGTTGTAGATACTTTCTCGTCCTCTGGAGTATTACATTTCAGGTCAAAGGTGAAAGCTCCTTCAGTAAAAACAGTTAGATAGTCTTTCATTTATTAAAGTATTTCCCAACCAAAATTATGTTTCAGTGAAATATTATCGCTTCTAACTTTGACATTTGTCTCACACATATCCTCCTTACACCAACACCAGATTTACTGATTAAGGAATAATGAAAAGGAAGTGATCATTATGATAATCTATGTAAACAAAACCTCTAACTACAAGTAATTCCAGCTTATTCAATAGCTGATAATGCACTAATCCTGCTACACTTTAAACCAAATGCAAGGGAGATAATTAATAATCATATATTTACTGTAAGGGAGATAATCTATTATGATGGAAAAGTGCAATTCTTCTTGAATGAATCAAGTGTACTAACTGTAAGGATACTGGTTGTCTGATCTGCTTACCTTTGAGTAGTAGATTTGGAAGAATCTCAAAGTGAGGGAGTATATGTATGGAATTATTGGTAGCCGAGAAGTCCATCAATGTATAGTAAGAAGTTGAGAAATCTGGATCATCACTCTTATCATCTGTCTGAAAAAGAATAGGATTGAAATTAATTAAGTTTTTTTATCATGAAATATAAAATTTCTAGCTTTGAATTACTGGTGTACGTAGTTGTATATATCAGTTTTTTATACAGGTAGTGAACGATGGTATTCTCAATCATTTAATGAAATTAGTACTCAATGGTATGTCCTTACAGTCCAACGAATCCTCACTGATATTATACTGAAAATTGATAGAGAAATACGTGAAGACAACCTGTTGTGTATAGTTGATGTGATTTTTTTTTTCAGTCTGATATTTTGGTATTTAGTCAGTAATTTCGTAAGTTAAGACAATAAAATGTAAAAACTTTTGATTACCATGTTAGTGAAGAAGAGCTCAGTTGTAGTTGAGTTGATCTGTAGGCTACAATTGCTGACTAGGATCAAACCTTGACACTTTGTTTGACCTTTACATGCAGTAAGCCCTGAACATGAAGTTTGACCTTCAGGTTTGTTGGGACTGCATACAACTAGCTGGAGTATCAATATCTGGGAGTCATTACCTATGTGATGAAGAAAAACATACAAGTTTATGTTTTTAGTCATTAAAATTAGATACAGTCAACTATCATGTACTTAAATATTTGAGGAAATGAAAATTCTGTATAAATAGTCTATAGAGTGTTTCCATTTCCATCTACTGCTGTTTCTAAGTACACATATTTGTGACAGATATCCTTGTTTTATCCTTGAAGGACATGTCAGAGATGTTAAGGGTCCAACGTGTTGAAGCCAAAATAAAAGGTCAAAATCAGCATTTCAGATAAAAGAATATACAGCTTACTATGTATAGAAATATATGCAGCAGGATTGAGATTTTGTCATGCATGTATTAAGATTAAGTCACTGGCTTCTGCATCATATTTTCATAGGTTTGTATTTAACTTTCACTATATTTCATTATCAAAATACCTGTTTACCTACAGGAAGATTTGGAATGAAGAAATAATCATATGTAGATTCTCCTTGATCCCTGACTGTTCATTGTCAATTTCAGGGCCTACCAGAAAACAGATGGCCATCTTTGATTTGAGAATTGGAGTTAGTTAACATTTAATCTTTAGAAGTACAAGGTTGATCTTTTGTGGGAGGCTTCACTCGGTACTGTAAATACTCTTAGTATTTCAAGATGTATCAGAAAACTAAATGATTGATAAGTTAAAGCTTGTCATCAGGATTGTTTCCACAAAGTATGATGATGAATTGATCTAGATATGTAGGTTTTCCGTGGTCTGTACACTGGTGCTCTAGATGTTGTTGTTTTTCTATAGGTAGATTCCCCTTGTTTATTGATGGCATGACATGTTTAATTCAACTGTCAATCCAACATTTACTGGAAAACATTTAATCAGAGGAAAGAAGAGAAAAGATCTAATAACAATCATAAAAAAATGGACACCAAGATCTCCCTGGTATCTCTAATATGTTTTGATAAATGAATTAAAGACAAGATCCTAGGTCGTTACAATCATGTTCAATGAATAGACACTACCTTTTACTGTTGTCTCCAACACAATACTGACCTGATGGCTGGAAAAATTCCTCTGGAACTCTCTGATACTGACCACAAGCCACTGATGCAATCTTGACTACAGAAAGTAAGGACCAGATTAGTAGTGTTCTGGTCATGATGATGTAGGAACTTTCTTTATATTCCTCTGTTCTTTTTATATAAATTACAATAATAGAAAAACGTTTAAACAATTCCCAGAGTGTATGTCGGTAATTATGATACCTGTGATCAGTAATTCTATATCAAATATAAGTCCTTTATACTCCTCACCCAATGTTCTAGCACAGACTCTGCACATAATTGATGATGTGATGTGTTAATTTCCGTGTATCAAGACAACTGGGTTTTCCTGTTGGTATGCCCTCATCTGTTATGTAAGTACATGTAACTATTTATGTGTTTAATTTGTTACAGTGACTCAGATCATTGTCGCTGTGATGATATGGCTACTTTTAATGTTTATATAGAGATACTGTAGAATCAAAAACTCTTGATGGATGAAATGGTCACATGGTGCTGAATTTGTCAAAACTATAAATTTCATAAATCTGGGTCCCCCATTTCTGTAAGGAATTTTGACCTTATATAGTGTGAAGTATCTTTGGCTATAGGGAATTTTCTGTTGCTTAAACAGTGGGGTTTTAATGGTTTAAACTTTTTAAGAAACCTCAAAACCAAAAGGATTTTTAAAGGAAATCATGTGAGGGAATATTGCTTTATCAAATAATTTAGTTTTCAAGATTACCATTTTTTACTTTTTTAATAGCAAAGAATTGAAGACCTTGAAAATAACAATCATGACTGCATTATTTGTTAAAACTACAATTAAGTTTAAGTTTATAAGACATGAAGTAACTGTACTATATATCAATACAGAGGAAGCATTTAAGGACACTATCGGAAAACAGGATGTAACACTTAGCTATTCTGGTTATTTGCAGTATTGCACTTCAACAGGTCATCAATACCAGTATTTTAAAACACGATCATCAAACATCTACTCAACAGCTAATCTACAAAGCCAATCCTAGATTTCAATAACTGTTTACTCTCTAATATGTGTTTATAACTCTTCAAAATTAATAGTGAACGGTTAGATTGTTTTTAAGGGTTGTCTTGGAAAACAACCTTATAACATAAACTGTTGGATAGTTGTCAATTATTTATATTTGAACATCACATTACATAACCATATTAGGTCAAAAGATTTACTTTCAATATTCTAAGTATTGATCAAAAGCCAGAAGTAATCAAGAGATCCTGATTTTTTTAAAAAAATTTAAGCTAGTAGGTCTGACTGATATTTAGTTGACCTGAAGACATACAATCTACATAGTAAATTATCAATCTTGATTTTGAAACAAGATACATTAAAACTACTTTTTGTTTCAAATTTTCTGATTTAGCCAGATCAAATTAAGAAAGGGATAATGAAGAATGATGACAGAGTACTGAATACTAGGTAAAAGGCATGTATGGTATTACTGCTTCACCCAACCACTGTGAAGCTGTAAATGAACTATAGGAGAGAATTAAACTACTGTATAGATATTCAGGAACCGACATGTGCAAAGTGGGGAATGAAGGAGTTGAAAGTGGTTAATCAGTTACAATATAATTTGTATATTGGAGAAATAAGAAAAGATTGATGGATAGATATTTGTGTTAAAGAAAATCTTTAATCAAGATATTGTTAGGCCTTTTAACCATAGTTCATATTTGGTGATCTGTAGTGATTGTTTTTTGTTCGTCATGTGTTGACTTTTACTTGTGAACATAATAACTTGGGTTGATATGAACTGATCCTTACAAAACTTGGTATGCTGCCTTATATAAAAATGATCTTGTAGGATTACAACCTACGGGAGTGATTCAGTTGTAATTTATAGAATTATGTAAATGTAACTGCCATTGGACATTGTGAATAAGATAACCTAAATGATTTGAATAAAACTTGGTTTGCAGCTTTATATCAATAAGATCTCGGATTGGTTTAATACCGATTTGTAACTTAGAGAGTAATACCCCTTTGCAATTTTATTACTATTAAAACTTTTATGCACATCAATTTGAATCAGTACAATCAGATATAGATGAAACTTTGCATGGAGCCATTTAACCATTGAACGTCTGTCAGATTGCATTTATTGTCAATATGAATGCAATCTGGGTGACAGATAAATAGAATGACGTCCATTAGAACTGATTCAGTTTTATTAGGTCACCTGAGCCAAAGGCTTCGTTAACTTTTCACATACTTAAAGTATTCGACTTCTCCTCAAGAACCACTGAATGGATTTTGACCAAAGTTGGCACAAAGCATCCCCATGGGAAGCCACTTCAAGTTTGCAAAGAAAAAGGGCGTGGCCACAATAGGGGCCCCAGGAGGGGGAAAAAGGGGGTAAAATTAGGTAAATCTTTAAAAAAACCAAAAGTCAGATTAAGTTCATATTTGATATTTAGGGTCCTTATGGCATGGTTTGCAAAGTTTGCGAATGAACAAAAAAAATCGGGTCAAAACAACCCCACTAGGGGGTGCTCAAAAGGGTCAAAAATTCAACGTTGACCGATTTCAACCAAATTTGGTAGACAGCATCCATTAGTGAAGGACAATATGAAATTATGTTGAAAAAAGTGATGGGGCCCATAAGGGATGTAAAAAGGGCCATATGTAAAAACCTTCTTTAAATGACTTCTTCTCAAGAACCATTGGATGGATTTTGACCAAACTTGGCACAAAGCTTCCCCATGGGAAGCTGCTTCAAGTTTGCGAAGAAAAAGGGTGTGGCCCCAATAGGGGCCGCAGGAGGGGGAAAAAGGGGGTAAAATTAGGTAAATCTTTAAAAATCTTCTTCTCATGAACCAGCAGTCAGATTAAATTCATATTTGATATTAAGGGTCCTTATGGCAAGGTCTACAAAGTTTGCAAATGAAAAAAAAAATCAGATCAAAAAAGGCCCCACTAGGGGGTGCTCAAAAGGGTCAAAAATTCAACTTTGACTGATTTCAATGAAATTTGGTAGACAGCATCCCTTAGTGAAGGACATATGAAAGTATGTTGAAAAAAGTGATAATGTCCCCTTTGGGGCCCATATGGGGTATAAAAGGGGCCATATGTAAAAACCTTCTCAAGAACCATTTAATTGATTTTGACCAAACTTGGCAGAAAGCATCCCCATTGGTGCAGCTTCAAGTTTGCGAAGAAAAAGGGTGTGGCCCCAGGAGGGGGAAAAAGGCAAACTTGATATGAATGTTCTACACAAGGTCCTGGCAAGTGTTTTAACTTTTTGGGGCAATTCAAAGTCCAAGATGGCCACCTTGGCCTCTGTTTGGCTAAGACATTATGGACTTCCTCTCAAGAACCATTGGGTGGGTCATGTTCAAACTTGGTACAGATGTTTTACACATGGTCCTGCACAAGTGTTGTTACATTTTTGCAACATTTTAAAATCCCCAGATTATTGACATATATTCCTCAGGTGACCGTTAAGGCCCCTTGGGCCTCTTGTGTTAGAGTTATGGCCCTAATTGCAGCTTAATAACTATGGAACCCTGTGTGGTTAGCTAGCTCCAGATTCTGGCCCCATTCTTAACCCTGTGTTGTTAATTAGTTCCAGATTCTGGCCCTATTCTTAACCCTGTGTTGTTAGTTATTTCCAGAGTCTGTCACACTTTCATTTCCATGTTCTAACTTCCCTAAATATAATCCGATTTAAATGAAACTTGGTCAGCAGATGCATATTAGGGCACATAAGACTGAGTTCAGCAATCAGCATCATCTGTTAATACCTTTGCATACTTATTAGGCATCCTTTTATTTCATTGGTCGGTCAGTTTTTGTGCTCTAACTTTCCTAAATATAATAACCTCTAAAATATTCAATTACAATATGTTTGGAAAGTGGGGGATATAAATTCCATGAATTTGCTTGTTATTTCCAATTCTGGCCCCATTCTTAACCCTGTGTTTTAGTTAAATATAATAACCTATGTTGTTAAAATATTCAATTACAATGTGTTGTTAGTTAAAGTGGGGGATATAAATTAACCCTGTGTTGTTAGTTATTTCCAAGTTATTTTTCTGGCCCCATTCTTAACCCTGTGTTGTTAGTTATTTCCAGATTCTGGCCCCATTCTTAACCCTGTGTTGTTAGTTATTTCCATTCTGGCCCCATTAACCCTGTGTTGTTAGTTATTTCCAATTCTGGCCCCATTCCTAACCCTGTGTTGTTAGTTATTTCCAGATTCTGTCCCCATTCTTAACCCTGTGTTGTTAGTTATTTCCAGATTCTGGCCCCATTCTTAACCCTGTGTTGTTAGTTATTTCCAGATTCTGGCCCCATTCCTAGGCCCATTCTTAACCCTGTGTTGTTAGTTATTTCCAGATTCTGGCCCCATTCTTAACCCTATGTTGTTAGTTATTTTCAATTCTGGCCCCATTCTTAACCCTGTGTTGTTAGTTATTTCCAGATTCTGGCCCCATTCTTAACCCTGTGTTGTTAGTTATTTCCAGATTCTGGCCCCATTCCTAGGCCCATTCCTAAGCCTGTGTTGTTAGTTATTTCCAGATTCTGGCCCCATTCCTAGGCCCATTCTTAACCCTGTGTTGTTAGTTATTTCCAGATTCTGGCCCCATTCTTAACCCTGTGTTGTTAGTTATTTCCAGATTCTGGCCCCATTCTTAACCCTGTGTTGTTAGTTATTTCCAGATTCTGGCCCCATTCCTAGGCCCATTCCTAACCCTGTGTTGTTAGTTATTTCCAGATTCTGGCCCCATTCCTAGGCCCATTCCTAACCCTGTGTTGTTAGTTATTTCCAGATTCTGGCTCCATTCTTAACCCTGTGTGATAAGTAGGCGGGAATGATACATGTTTGTGTACATATACACTGCATTCTGAATTGGACTTCAGTCTCCATTGATGTAACAAGGAAAGATGTATATAACTTACTAGCTCGTTTTAAAGGTATGATTTAAATGCAGTAGTATTTAAGATGAGGCTGCATCCTCTGAACCATTTGATGTCAAAGTTAGTATGAATGTATACACTAGAAATTTGTATTTGTATTCATAGTCTGGTGCATGAGAAGGAATTATGTAGTAGAATATATTCCTGTACAGCTATATAGGGTTTCGCACAGCTTCCGTTCTATATCCTGTGATCTGTACAATTGTTTGTAGTGGTAGGTTGCATCTATAAAGAGAAAAATGTACATACAAACTTTATATTGCAACATTTGCAAAACAAGCTATAAGCTTATATCGGTCTCTCTTGTTGGCCTAGATTGAAGGGGGAAGTCTTTACTGGAAAACTCAAGTGGACTTTCATATCAGAATGTGAAATTGAGCTCCATTCACCTCCATTCAGGCAAGTGTTGTCACTACTCCACCGGACCAAGCTTCAAACCAATAAATCATTTGAAATTGGATAGAAATATTTACAATGTGATATTTTATTGCAGAGTTTTCACAGAAATATCTATTTACATTACAATAAGTGAAGTATACAGAGTTAACTAAAGTATCTCTATAAGTGTGTAACAGAAATACATTTAATGTCCAATAGTATCACTCTTACATATTACACACAATACTGTTATCTTTTCAGATATGGCAAAAAAACGAACAAAACAAAAAATCAAAATTATGATGATACAAGAATAGGAGAAAATCCTCTACTGCAAATCATGGGTTATCCCCCTTGTTCATATTAAAATGGATTCATTAGCTGGACTTTGGTAAGAAAAATCATCTCCTGTAGGTTCTGGTCCCACACTACCATTGTCATGATGATATGCATCATATATATGGGTTTCTTCTTGTGTGTCATGGTGTGTGTTCGCTCGTCTGAAAGATATGTGAATATCAGAATATATCTCTTACTGTGAAATCATACACGGGCTATCTTACTAGTGTAAAAACAGTATATTGATACACTCATTGTCCCAGTAACCTGTAGTTATGTAGACCAACATTCTCACTGAGTTCAATACTGAGCTATCATGGCCAATGATATTTATTTTATCATGTAAGGGCAGATTATATCAAAGAAAAAGATGTCACCAAGTTTAAAAGATGTAACTCCTTTCAAAATTACGCTGAATAATCGTTTTCATTGTCAGTAATTTGTAATGATTTATAAACCACTGTGTGCACTTTTTTGTAGCGTTCAATTATGACATCATTTCTGATTTATCTTATCACCAGGTCCTAATTCCAATATATATATAACTTTTCTTAAAAGGGTATATTCAATAAAATGGTATTTATATATATCTATAGGTAGCATAAACCCTTAAATGTAAGCCCTACCTCCACATGATGACAGTAAACACAACCATGGCAACCAGCAAAATAAAGGATAAACATCCTACTATCACCAAAAGTGCAACATCTGAAATAATTAGACAAGCAGATTAAAGTTTAATGATACATAATTACTGTAATACAATACATGTGTAATTATGTACAATACATATGTAATGATACATAGCATAATGTAATAAAAGCTTGTTTACAACGAAATTTATCCACAGACCTTTCATTATCAGTCTTTATTTACATACTGTATAAGTCACATCTTTATATCTTAAATTGTAAAATCAATTATTCAAATCTGAAAAAAAGTTCTTTAAAATCATACCTTTGTCTGCAGGTGATGTTGGTTGCAATTCTGAATTACTTTGATTTGAATTCAAGATAAGGCTGGATGAGGCTGTTCCAGCACTTGGTGTGTTTGTCACCAAATGTCTTGTTGGGGTAGATATCCCTGTATGTTGTGTAACTTTAGAAGACTTGATTGATATGGTGGCAGAAAGAGGAATACCCACTGTTTCAATCTGACTCACAGATTTTGTAAAAGTCACAGATTCTGTGGGAAACTCATTTGTAACCATGGTGACTTGTTGCATAGTTGATTCTATTTGTGATGACAAGTCGACACCAGTTGATCTCACACCAAAAGATGAGACTTCGAGTAAACTGGAGGAAATTGTGAAGACTGTATTGTCACTTTCACATTTGCTGTTTTTTGTTTCTGAGCAGTTTGTTATATTTGGTAGGTTGTTGATTGTTTGTGTTGGAGTGACTGAGATATTGGGCTCCAATGAGAATGTCTGATTTATGTTTGCTTGTTCAGTAGGTAACGAAATGTCTCCATGGTTTTCATTGGTTACCAGACTTATTGTGGGATCTACAGATACATTAGCAGGTCTGGTAACTGGCTGATATGGTTTCTCATACTGGCACTTCAAAGACAATCCTAAAAACATGAAAATATAACATGTCTTTATCATATTAAAATGTTATTTAATTTGCTGTGATCAATGTTCCTACCCAAACAGCTAATTGTTGCTGACTATGCAATGACATGGTGTCAGCCCATCAATACTAAAGCTTTTACAGCCTTCTATAGATCAAGTAACCATTGATATTGAATAAAAGAAAAAGATATGTACTGATATTTATCTCAATTTTCAACAAAAATTAACAACTGTTATACACTTAATCGTTAGTGTGAGCTAAAACAAGGCCAAGTCAATCATAATCATTAGAATGAAGGCAAAGAATGTACAAAGATCCTGCATTTGAAAACAATTGACTTTAAAATGCCGCTGCAATGATTCAAACCTACAGATATAGAGGTAAGACTGCTGTAATTATTCTGTAGTACATAAAAAGGGGTCAACTCATTCTTAGTCAGGGGATGGGCTTATTACAGGAGTTAAGATTTTACTGAGCAGACTTTTTCCTCGATGGGTGGGCATGCGGCTTAAATACCAATAAGGCTTTTATGTGGACAAAAAAATTGACTAGATGGGGGGGGGGGGGGGCAAAAAATGAAACGTATCATCTGGACATTGGCTCTGAACTGTTATGTATTTTGGAAACGGCCATTTTGTCAAGGTGTATTACATGCACTATTGACCTGCATGACCTCACACCCTGATAATTTTGGTTACTGTAACATGTCACACTTCTAGGAAGAATAAAATCAGTGATTTAAACCATAGATACCAGTACACCAGTACAAGACATAGGTACCAAGTATTTTGCGAGTACCCATCCATCATGTGTTTGTGACTGAAACAGAGCATCTAGAACTGTCATTGGCAACTGTATACAGGATGATTTTAAGGTTGAAATAAAAGAAATATGGATTTAATTAATCATACCTTTTAATATGAATCACAATAATATCTTCTGAACTTTTGTGGTTACTTCAGAAGCTGTAGCTAAAGTTAAGAAAGTGTGTGGCTTTTATTCTGATTAGGCTAATATGTGGATCAAATTAAAAAAGACATTAAAAATTGGCTCTGCAGCTTACATACCGATGCAGTTTATTACCCAGAACATATGGTATATGTGGTTATTACCGGGCATGATGTCAATGTTGGTTTAGTACAAGAAGCTTAAAAAATGACATATTTGCTTACCCTTTCCTTGAAATTGCAACCAAGTTTTGTAAACCTGTTTGTCTAGTTGGTTTTCAAGAAAGAGGTTAACTTTAGTGAGGTTGGAGAAGATGAGAGTATTGAGGATGTTTAGGCCATTGATATGTTGAGTGCCTCGGTCTGTCGATAGGATCATGATCACTGAGCTGCCAGGATCTCGGCTCAGCTGTAAAACTGTCCCATTTATGTTTTGACCAATCAGAGTACAGGTGCAGTTTTTCTGCTGTCCTAGTATGTTTCTGGGGAAATCTGGAGTTGCTAGGTAGATCTGTTCTGTTTGTTCGAATGTAGTATCACTACAGATGGTAAATACACTGGCTTCTGAAAATACAAGTATGAAATAATTAATATACCACTTCTTGGACAATTAATTTCATGAGCTTAACATATCTTTATAACAGATCTATCACTGTGTATAGTGCAATGAAAGAAATGTTTCATCAATCAAAAATAAAATTTTAGATATACAATGTATTATATACTTTTCATAGTGTTCTCAATTAAAACACAATAGCATTTATTTCAGCTAAAATTCAGTTTAAACTTAATTGACTTTTTTGTTTTTGCCTTCTTGACAAAAGGGCAAAATGGGTGGAAGTTAAACTGCTGTGGAAATTATCCTTGTACAGTAGTAGGAAAATATTTGCTGACCTGGAATACACTTGTAATGTACTGAGAGAGCTGTGGCTATTTGGTTACAGGAGGATATGATTGTATTAGTCGGTACAGTAAAGAGACAGGAGTCCTGTCCGTTACAGTGGCCCACACTGACTGGGGACAGGAACTCAGCCTTAGTACATGTTATAATGCCAGGGTCCTGGTTGATGGTACAGGGCATTGGACTGTAACTGTAGGTCTCATAGATGACGTGAATTAACCAGCCTTCAGTACAGGTTAGGGACAGCTGTTGACCTGCACATGTGGTGTCACTTGAGATCATGCAATCTGAAAAATTCAATAAGTCATCCTAATTTTATTTCAAGATTGAAAATTATTCACCATGGAAACAGTTCTGGGATTGAATAAATAGTTAGAGAATAACTGTAGCTGATCTTTGTTGTAATGTTTTAAGCTTATAATTAGAAGAAAATTGTCAGTAGTCAGCAGCTGAGGTGAGGGACATTTAAACATGTTATGTTGAATGACCTTGACCTAGCTCCAGGTCACATTTCAATGTGTTTTAATTGTTGACTTATTCCTTATAACGTTGAGAATTTTAGTTATGGGCATGTTTCTATAAATGCTTAACTGAAAGATTGTGTTAAAATCATAAAACCTGACCTACTCTAAGGACATATTGGGCAAATGTACAAAAATCTTGAGATTTTGTGAAAGGCCCTTAATTAGCATTAGATCAAATTCAGAGGTCTGATATTTTCATACATTTAGATATTTCAGATGCAAAATACTGGAAAGGGGAGTAATTTTTAGAATTAACAGAAATGATTCCAATCCACTTTGAAACATTCATGAAGGAAAACCTTTAAACAACATTTTTCCATTAACTGTAACATAGATAAAGGTACAAATCCAATGTGGCTCTTGATGATAAGGAGGTATTTCATTCAATGCCCATTATGATAGCTAGATTACATGGTTGTATTAGTGAAGCTGACAAATCATCAAAGGAAGGATTTCAAAGCATAACAATATACATTACGATTTCCTATTGTATCACTCTGTAAAGCTGTTAAACAAATATTTAAAAAAAAAAAAAAACATCAGTTCCATGAAAGATTCAGATTAAACTGGAAAGTTATCACAGATATTGTTATATGAATGTTTCAATAGGAGTATATTTAGAATGGGGTTTAACAATTGTTTTAATTCAGTATCTGGGAAATATCAGATAAAACCACTAGTTTGGTTTTACTCTCTACTCTCAAATAGAAACATTTAAAACAAGTGAGTCTAAGCTCTTATAAATAAGCAAAACACAAGGGTATATCGGAGCATCTGTCTGGCCCAGCATGGCTCCACTTACGGTGCAGGGGTAGCCACATCAGGATAGAGAGGAGTACGAAAGTCCACCTTGTAGGCCAGGCTAACAAATTCTGTTTACTGTGTACCCCAGCCATCACATATCAGGCTCCCTCTAACACTTCTGTGTGAATGGGGATGGTCTCAACTCCCTGCTCACCTTCTGTAGGTTGTCATGGTAGCTGTACAGTACAGGTACACAGTTGTCACCTGAATGGTAATTGAACATTGAACAATTACATTTTGAATTCAAGTGTCTGGTTTAAGGAAGAATGATACTGAAAAATCCAAAAAGGTACGATAGATTGTGAATTTATTACATCTTTGATCTCCTGTTCATAGCGAAATACCTGTATCACACCACTAAAGTGATTTCCTTGTCATAGTGAAATACCTGTATCACACCACTAAAGTGATTTCCTTGTCATAGTGAAATATCTGTATCACACCATTAAAGTGATTTCCTTGTCATAGTAAAATACCTGTATCACACCACTTAAGTGATTTCCTTGTCCCAGTGAAATACCTGTATCACACCATTAAAGTGATTTCCTTGTCATAGTGAAATACTTGTATCACACCACTAAAGTGATTTCCTTGTCATAGTGAAATACCTGTATCACACCATTAAAGTGATTTCCTTGTCATAGTGAAATACTTGTATCACACCACTAAAGTGATTTCCTTGTCATAGTGAAATACTTGTATCACACCACTAAAGTGATTTTCTTGTCATAGTGAAATACTTATATCACACCACTAAAGTGATTTCCTTGTCATAGTGAAATACCTGTATCACACCATTAAAGTGATTTCCTTGTCATAGTGAAATACTTGTATCACACCACTAAAGTTATCTCCTTGTCCCAGTGAAATACCTGTATCATCCCACTAAAGTTATCTCCTTGTCATAGTAAAATACCTGTATCACAACACTAAAGTTATCTCCTTGTCATAGTGAAATACCTGTATCACACCACTAAAATTATCTCCTTGTCATAGTAAAATACCTGTATCACAATACTAAAGTGATTTCCTTGTCATAGTGAAATACTTGTATCACACCACTAAAGTTATCTCCTTGTCATAGTGAAATACTTGTATTACACCACTAAAGTGATTTCCTTGTCATAGTAAAATACCTGTATCACACCACTAAAGTTATCTCCTTGTCATAGTGAAATACCTGTATTACACCACTAAACATCCTTCATCAGAATAGTAAGATTTTGTTTGACTGCGGATCTTCTGTTATTACCTGTAAAAGTTTAATCAACCGATCATTTGTGGATATGAAGTAGATGGATATATTTGTGTGTTAATGTTCATCAATTAAGGAGTACAATGACATACAGCTGTTACCAAGCTCCCTTATACAGAAACACAGCTGTTACTTCCTCTTTTTGTATTTGACATGATTATCAGATATGAATGTTTGCCAATGATTGACTATGTGGGGAAAATGTTATCAACTGACAGTGGACAAACTGTGACTGTTGTTGCATCATGTAGCTGTATAGATAGCTGTCATAGTCTTAGTGGGGTAGATGAGATGGGGGATTTTTATGAAACTACTTGACCATGAATGAATTATTTTCAGATATCAGTTTATACCTGTTAGGGTCAGTTTACTGGAATAGAAGTATGCAAACTTAATCTCCAACACAGCAAACTTCACCAACCACCAGTTTACAATTTGTAAGGAAAAATATTTCATGTCCACTATTACTGTGTATAGGGTGTATATGTGGGAGTTTTCTTATAAACAGCAAGGATGACTCTATGGTTTTTCCTGTGAGAAAAACACCACTAATCAGGCTTAGTGGTAATAGACATTTGACTATGAGCTGTATATTATATACGTTGTAATAATGTCAAGTTAGTGTAAAGATCTTGGAAGCTGATAGCTTTTTTGACATTAAACCAGATATTCTGTGTATATATAATACATTATTGTGTGATGTCAAACACAATTGTAAGTGTTTACCTGTTGTCAAACTTTGAAGACATGGTTATATAGGATTTTAAATTTCAATGAAAAAACACAGAATTTAAAAAGCAGATCAAATTTTCTCCTTATTTTGTTTATAATGGTTTTCCTTAGATTGTTGAACAAACTGACCATGCTGCTGATACTAGTGTCAACGTTGATGGTGACAATGATGTTGACCTTGATGTTGATGTTGATGATGACATTGATGATGACAATGATGATGACATTGATGTTGATGATGATGACATTGATGTTGACGTTGATGTTGACATTGATGTTGATGACATTGATGATGATATTGATGATGATGATGATGATGATGATGATGATGATGATGATGATGATGATGATGATGATGATGACGATGATGATGATGATGACATTGATGATGATATTGATGATGTTGATGTTGATGATGACATTGATGTTGATGTTGACATTGATGTTGATGTTGACATTGATGTTGATGACATTGATGTTGATGTTGATGATGCCATTGATGATGTTGTTGATGATGACATTGATGTTGATGTTGACATTGATGTTGATGTTGATGACATTGATGATGATGATGATGATGATGATGATGATGATGATGATGATGATATTGATGATGTTGATGTTGATGTTGATGATATTGATGTTGATGTTGACATTGATGTTGATGTTGACATTGATGTTGATGACATTGATGTTGATGTTGATGATGACATTGATGATGTTGTTGATGATGACATTGATGTTGATGTTGACATTGATGTTGATGTTGATGATGATATTGATGATGTTGATGTTGATGATGACATTGATGTTGATGATGACATTGATGTTGATGTTGATGATGACATTGATGTTGATGTTGACATTGATGTTGATGTTGATGTTGACATTGATGATGACATTGATGATGATATTGATGATGATGATGATGATGATGATGTTGATGATGACATTGATGTTGATGTTGATGTTGATGTTGATGATGACATTGATGTTGATGTTGACATTGATGTTGATGTTGATGTTGACATTGATGATGACATTGATGTTGATGTTGATGATGACATTGATGTTGATGATGACATTGATGTTGATGATGACATTGATGTTGATGTTGATGTTGACATTGATGATGACATTGATGTTGATGTTGATATTGATGATGATGATGATGATGATGATGATGATGATGATGATACTAATATTGTTATTGACATTGATACATTACAGTTACTACAACCTTGATGATACAGATTATGACAGCATTAACAAGTTTCTGTCAGGCCTGGTGGAGAGGGCGCTGTTTGACCTGGAGTCCTCATACTGTTTAGAGATTGGTGAGGTAATGTATGGCAGTGGTTGATATTAATCTTTGTTTCCTCACAAAATGTATATTTCTCAGAATATAGCCCACCGCACAATACTAGGGAATATATGGGAATCAGCTTGTAAGTATGTCTGTATTTAGAAAGGGCAACTCCTTTGAATATTGTGAACCAATTTCAATGAAACTAAAGTTGGTGTGGGAGGAATCATGCGCAGATGTGCATGCAGGTTTTTGGGACACCTGGCCCAAAAACATAAAACACTAAATGGATGGAAATATATTTTGTATAAACAGTGGGTCTCAGCCCCTTGGAGCGGGAGGGACGGAGCCATATATTGGAAATAGAGCTAATTCTTTTAAATCGTACTTCTCAAGTAGGAATGATTAGATTTTACTCAAATTTCGTTGAAAACATGTTTGGATTAAGAAGAATCAAGTTTTTTTAAATGATGAGTCTTTGTCCCTATGGATGGGAAGGACAGAGCCTAATAGTGGAAGTAGGAATTATTTGTTTTTAGCCAAATGTTGTGTGAAAGATGTTTGAGTTAAAGGAAATCAATTTGGTATAAGCAGTGCATCTCAGCCCCCTGGGGCAGGAGAGGAATGGCTAAGTGACTGAGCTTTAATTTGAAAATGTTTGAAATACCCAACCTATAGGCATATGTACCATTGCTGGGCTTTAAGATCCAGGTGAGTGATACACACCCTATAGGCCTCTTGTTTATCAGAAAGTTTGGTTGCCATGATTACCTGGTTACAACACACAGAATTTTGTGTATTGGTCTGTAACTCATCAGTCAGTATATCAATTCTAATGAAACTTGGTCACATGGTATAAGGTTTCAAAACAGAAAATTGGACACATCAGTGTTTCCAGAACTATGACTAGATAAACAATATGGACGCTTCTGATTGGTTGAAATGGAAATATAATAGGGGTTTTGAAGAATGGTAATTATAATGATTAAGATCCCTCCTGAATTTGGGAACCAATTTCAATGAAACCATACAATGATACTCTGAACCAAATGTAGATATTCTAATACCCTTATTCTCAAAAAAAACCCTGATCCAATTTAATGAAATTTTGCAGAAACCTTCCCTGGCCTAAGATGAACCAAAAGTGTGAATTATGTAGTCCCCAGCCCCCAAAGGCCTGAAGGGTGGAGTCAAAAGGGGTCAAATTGGCTTAAATTCCAAAAATCTTTTTCTCAACACCCAGATATGGTAGAATCAAATGCTCTTCATGAATGGAAGCATCTTAAGGTGCTTTAATTACGAAAATGTGTCTCACATTTCTTCCTGAAGAGGAAAATATTTTTCAGACTTAAGTGTAATTTTCATAGAAAAATTGTATTTTTTTAGCATAACATTGGTGATTTCCCACTGGAAATAACTTTATAAGAATTATCAGTATAGGATGACAGTTTTGATGGTATGCATGTATTGACACTGGCTTACTAAATGCAAATAGTAAGTACAACATCATGAAATATGCACTGAAACAGCTTCCTGAGACTTAGCATTACATTGTACAATGGAGATAGACAGATGACTTTGAAATTAGACGTTGATAAGAAATGAGAAATAATAATACTGTCTCCTTTGTGTTTCTAGGACAACCTTACCATCACTCCGCAGACATTGGGACGAATCTCATCCTACTACTATCTCAATCACAACTCGGTGCGCAAGTTTAGAGACACACTGAAGGCAGAGTGCACTACCTATGAGCTGGTAGAAATACTGTCTGTAAGTCATATACAATCCGGGAATTCTTAAAAATATTTTGAATCTGGTCGTCCCATCATAGTTAAAATCACAGAAATACTGTCTGTAAGTCACAACATCAATAAATTTTCAGAAACGTTTTACATTAGTCACATGATGATCATTTAAGTGATGGAAATAAGTTCTGTAAGCCACAATATTCTGGAATTCTTAAAAATGTTTTACATCAGTACTGTGATCATTGTTGAAATCATGGAAATAATTTCTGTCACAACATCTTGGTTTTCTGACATTGAATTCCTAGTTGTACTTTTACAAAGCCTGATGTTGGAGGAACTTTCCTCCTGATAGTCAGTCACACTATTCCTGATTAGTGATCCTCTAAAATATTCTAGTTACTTGAAATATGGTCTGAATTTACTAAAATTGGGAGGGATGACTTAGGATATGTTCTAACTCAGTACAGACATCTGGAAATTTGTGAACTCGAAAGGAATTTCTAACCTCGTTATTGACTCACTGATAATTAAAAAGCTATAATCATTTGTTTTACAACAGTTGCGAAAAAAAAAGCTTTTAGTTAATATTACTCATGCTTGTTTGCCTGGTGAATAGACGAGTGTTTTACCACTGCGCCACCAGATAATTAAAGTACTTATTAGACTACAACTGTGATGTTGTGTACCCGATTGACTGGTACCAACTTCCATTCAGTTTATGCTCTAAAGATAGGCTAAACTTTAAGATGGGACTTCTTAAACAAGAACTTAAAATGGATGACCTAATTTATTCATCCACTCATAAGCCCATGTCTGGTAATAAACCCACCTCAATCTGTAACTGTTTAGCAGAATGACAAACATTGTTATTTTCTTGTCTGTGATGCACCCATCACTAAGAATTCATTGGCCCTGTCAGCTTCATGCACTGTGATAAAAATATGAGGAAAAAGAGAAAACAGAAGTTAAAACAAAAATGTTTCTCAAGAAAGAAGGAGATTACTTATCTTAAAATATTTGAAAAGTAAAATCTTTAGCAAATATTACCAGGAAAACTTACCTGTTGTTTACAAACAGACTTGCTGCAGCCAAATGCTTATTCCTCAAGGTAATACTGTTTTATACGTAGGCTGGTTTATCTTACAGAATGCAGAGGAATATGCCCAACTTCCTGTGCGTCACAACGAGGATCAGATTAACAGGTAAAAATAGTGTATGAACATAGTACTAGTGTAAGTATCATGTATGTAATAGTTCTGGCACCTCCACTGCCAAATATCAAATGGACAGGTATGACCTAGTCATTTCACTTGTAACGTTAACACATGGTATCACTGTAACAATGACAGAAACTTTCTGTGATGTATTAACAGTTGACAGATGTACATTATGTAACAGACACTCAAACATCAACATATACATTTGGGAAGTAGGGGGTGGGTGTAACCAATGCATACAATTGGCTCCAAGATTGAAATACAGAAATATTGGAATAAAAAGGTATTGCTCCATGTGAAATAAAAAAAGAATCTATATCAGATTTTTTTTTGATATACCTACCGAAACACATCCATAAAACTTTTTTACATCTAACACAACCAATATTGAGAGAATGATATTCAGATTTGTACACCTCATTGTATGTATGTGAAATTTAAATGTATTTGTCTGCTATCATCTAGTAGGCTCTACAAGCAGTAAACTGAATTCTGTAAGTACATTATACTATACAATAGTACTGAAATAGCGTGTGTTAAGCTGTTTAGTCTTATGTTGAAATAGACAAGTATATCTCTGTGCTGATATAAAAAGATTTTATTTTCATCGTGAAGCTTTCAAAAGATGGCTAGCTACCACATACAAGTCTGTCAAGAGTTTTATCATAAAACGGATTCTACAGGTCCACATAAATCTTTGTGAGAGCTGGGGAATCAGAGATAATGGATGTATTAGATTAACATCTACCAAAACACCCACACTGCTGTCATATACGTCATATCATTTCAGAACACAATTTTAATTCATGCTGTGAACTTTGTAGGATATTTTCAGATTTTGTAATATTTGTTTGAGCAGGAAAACCCTTGGGAAATATTTGGGTCTTAAGGTATCCATTAGGAAGTTACTGCAAATGTTGTCTTTTTTAGGGATTCTTATTTATACTGTTTTCAGGGATAGACTCACTATCAAAAATAGATACATAGAAAATAAAACTTTCAACAAAATGAATAGTCTGTTAAATGAGGTTAGGTGCTTCAAAGTTTTGGTAAATCAAAGAAATTTTGAACCATATATTGATACAATCTAGCCATAACATTATCAGGGTATACATAGATATACAAAAGACAATGAGAAAATGGACTGCTTGTTGTAAAGATAGCGGATACATCATTATACCTGTTATAAAATGACGGGAAAATGTGGTGAATTGGTTTATCTTCACTGGTCTTGGAGTATTCTAGCAATTAACCACCAGCGGTACATAAAGACAGGTAACTGTTACATCGCTGAAGCTTCACAAACACACAAATAGATTGATACACAGGTCACCATAATATACAAGTGACAGTCAAGCCATTTAAAGATTCTGTTCTTAAGTTCGGAAATTGTGTATCTTGTTAAATAATATACTTGTAGATCAGTAGTTGGTAGGACAGGAGAGTTGATCTAAATTGTGTGTTATCTTGTTATGTAATTTACTTGTAGATCAATAGTTGGTAGGACAATAGGTATGATATCATTAGTTCCTTGAAACCCAAGTGGCCAGTCACCTCAGGATTGTAACACATGTATATTTATCTTTGACTTGTGAAATACTCCTGATGCTATTATCAACAGTAATTTTTGCTTTTTCCTTTAGTGAACTGGCAACCAAGTTACCACTAGCAGTGAACCCCCATACCTACGACTCTTCCCATACAAAGACATGTCTCCTTCTCCAGGCCCACTTCAGCCAAGTTCCTCTTCCCTCTTCCGATTACAACACAGACACCAAGTCTGTCCTGGACCAGGCCATCCGTGTACTACAGGTAAGCCCTGCTTCCTTCATCTGACCACAACACAGACACCAAGTCGGTCTTGGACCAGGCTATCTGTGTGCTACAGGTAAGCCCTGCTTCCTTCATCTGACCACAACACAGACACCAAGTCTGTCCTGGACCAGGCCATCCATGTACTACAGGTAAGCCCTGCTTCCTTCATCTGACCACAACACAGACACCAAGTCGGTCCTGGACCAGGCCATCCATGTACTACAGGTAAGCCCTGCTTCCTTCATCTGACCACAACACAGACACCAAGTCTGTCCTGGACCAGGCCGTCCATGTACTACAAGTAAGTCCTTGTTCCCTCATCTGACCACAACACAGACACCAAGTCTGTCTAGGACCAGGCCATTCATGTACTACAAGTAAGTCCTTTTTCCCTCATCAGAGTACATCACAGACCTTATATTATATGCCATTTCTTACAGGCCATGCTGGACATTTCAGCTGACCAAGGCTGGTTAGTGACTTCCCTGCGTATCACCATCCTTATCCAGATGGTCATCCAAGGACGATGGTCAACAGACAATGCTCTCCTGACCTTACCACACATGACACCCTACCACCTCAACTGTCTCAGGTAAATAAAGATAGCTTTGTCTCAACAACTTCATCTGTCTCAAGTAAACTACTGTAACTGCTTGATCTGTCGTAGGTAAACCAAACACATGTATCATACCCCAATTACATATCTGTTGCAGGTTAACACAAGCAGCATATCTCAAGTATTGAATTAGATTGAGCATTTTTGAAATGATAAGATCGTAGGATGTATTGATGAGCCCCGAGCATGATTTTGTTTATAGTTGGCTAGTTAATGCAACTAATGACTGCCAGACAATTATAACTGTCCAAACTATTGACCGGCTGAGCTTTTAATGTTTTCCTTTTACCTCTGTGTGCTTTAACATATTTAAAGAAAGTAAGTTTAAACATCATGTGGTAGAACTTCAGGTAAATGTTCAGGCACATGTATCTATGAGAATCAAGGGAGATAATTTGAATGATGATATCATTATTCCAAACAGGCCTAAAGGTGGAGAGGGTGCCAAAAGGAAGGGCACAGCCCTGCCAAGGGGCCCAATCAGATCCCTCCCGGAGCTTTTAGCTGCATGTGATGGGCGATACGAGACACTTCTTACAATGTTGGATGGAGAGATGGACAGAATGCAAATTGACCAGGTCAGTGTTTTATCATAGCATCCCCTCTGGGGGATAATATATGGGTGGCTCCTGTCAGATGGTATAAGGGAAGCTCCTGTGAGCTGGTATAAGGGAAGGTCCTGGGAGAGAATATAAGGGAAGCTCCTGTGAGATAATATAAGGAAAACTCCTGTGAGCTGGTATAAGGGAAGCTCCTGTGAGCTGGTATAAGGGAAGGTCCTGGGAGAGAATATAAGGGAAGCTCCTGTGAGCTGGTATAAGGAAAGCTTCTGTGAGCTGGTATAAGGGAAGGTCCTGGGAGAGAATATAAGGGAAGCTCCTGTGAGATAATATAAGGAAAACTCCTGTGAGATGGTATAAGGGAAGCTCCTGTGAGCTGGTATAAGGGAAGGTCCTGGGAGAGAATATAAGGGAAGCTCCTGTGAGCTGGTATAAGGAAAGCTTCTGTGAGCTGGTATAAGGGAAGGTCCTGGGAGAGAATATAAGGGAAGCTCCTGTGAGATAATATAAGGAAAACTCCTGTGAGATGGTATAAGGGAAGCTCCTGTGAGCTGGTATAAGGGAAGGTCCTGGGAGAGAATATAAGGGAAGCTCCTGTGAGATAATATAAGGAAAACTCCTGTGAGATGGTATAAGGGAAGCTCCTGTGAGCTGGTATAAGGGAAGGTCCTGGGAGAGAATATAAGGGAAGCTCCTGTGAGATAATATAAGGAAAACTCCTGTGAGCTGGTATAAGGGAAGCTCCTGTGAGCTGGTATAAGGGAAGGTCCTGGGAGAGAATATAAGGGAAGCTCCTGTGAGCTGGTATAAGGAAAGCTTCTGTGAGCTGGTATAAGGTAAGGTCCTGGGAGAGAATATAAGGGAAGCTCCTGTGAGATAATATAAGGAAAACTCCTGTGAGATGGTATAAGGGAAGCTCCTGTGAGCTGGTATAAGGGAAGGTCCTTATTTATTTACTAAGATATTATCTGGTCCTTTGAAAAGAAAATCATGAAAAAATATTGACATCACCAGCTATACTTTATACATTTTGAAGTTTGAATCTTTCAGATGTCTGGTACTTTCTAATACTTTGTCCCAATGAACTCCTGGTTTTGATTGCGTTTCTTTTGTGTTGACAGATTTACACTGTGATAGGAAAGTTACCTCAGATCCAAGTGAACCTTTCCATAAAGGGATGGTGGGAAGGAGGTGAAGGGCAGAAGGATATTCGAATCCAGAACTCTACAGATGGTAATGGTCATTTTCACTGTTGATTGATATGTGTATTGTCTTTGATGTTTTTAGTTGTTTTCTGAATACCGTTTTACCTTCTTATAACATAAAAAACATTTTGTGGGTGTTTTTAAATATTTACAAATAAGTAAAGCTATTGTGCTAATTCAGAAGTTGACTTAGATGTAACATACAGGAATAACTTGTTAGCATTAATTGTTGCATTGTCTTTGGGAAGATTTAGAATCCTTTAAGATTCCTTCGGCCTAAAACTACTTGTAATTATAGACATGTCACTCTGCAGTCTAAAGGTCAATAGCAATTATTGCTTTCAAAGATACTACTGCTGTACATAGTCCACACATTATTGCTTACTTCCCTTGAGCAAAATAAAATCCTCCCACATTATTTTTTCCTGAGAGTACATGCTGTTGAGTGCTTTTTTGGAAGGTCTCCTTGGAGTTCTTCCTTTGAGGGCTTCCTTGGAAGACTACCTTGGAGGGCTTTCTTGGAAGGCTTCCAAAGTCTTAGATTAACGGTCATTGTCAAGGTCAACTATATATTTCACATCCAACAATTGAAAATGCAAGATACCTGTCAATTTCTAATTTACTGATTTCATTTTTTTTAAAGCATGCCAAGCTTTTTGTACATTAAGATGAATATTAAGTGTATTATTATGATCAATCTATCTCTTCGTGTTATAAGAAGTATGGCAATGAATGACAATTTTGTGTATAATGTTTGGTGATTGACAGGTGGGCGTCGCCCAGACAGCGACTGGATCCAGGTGCATGCTGACCAAGAGTATGTGATACATGTTGACCTTGTCAGGGTTAACAAGACCAAAGTAAGTACTGATGATAAACAGACTTATACATACACTCTCTTCTTATTGTTGACTTATACAGAAATTCTGTTTTATAATCTTTCCTTTTGGTTAAATTTAGTGTTTTTGGGTGATTAATTGTATATAGTCTTATCATTATGTGACACCAAAATTTCCACTTGTTTTGACAACATGACATATGTAACAATGTTGCGCAGTAATAAAGGAGCTTGCTACTGTCAAGGATTAGAGCAAGCATATTGACTTATTTTTTCAAATAAATGAAATTTTCCATCATTAAAAAATGAAAACATATATGAAATTTCACTTTTTTTTTTAAGTTTTCCTATTTAATTTTGATATGATTTTTTTTCAGCGAAATGATAGTAAGGCCCAGACACCACGGTTTCCCAAACCTAAGGATGAGGGCTGGTTCCTGGTGATCGGGGAGATAGAGAATAGAGAAGTCATCGCACTTAAAAGGACAGGATATGTTCGTGGACGTTCTCGTCAACAGTTGGCAGTGTACACTCCAGAGACAACAGGACGTGTGATCTATACATTGTACCTAATGAGTGACTCCTATCTTGGTCTGGACCAGCAGTACGATATCTGTTTAGATGTGATACCTGCTAGTATAGAGTCACAGGTCAACACAGAGCTGGTCGGTGAACTAAATGACTTGGACATGGATGGGGGTGAATGATCCTATATGTATGGGTATTTCTGGTGGTTATCTTTAAAGTGTTAGTGACTATACCACATCAGGTGGTCAAAAATAAACCACACAATACCTGGATATTGAAAATGATGAGTGGATATTTGTATCTATAATTATTGGGAGGTATTTATCAATGGTATGGCTGAAGTGAAATCAAAATGTCACACCTGGAATTTGTAGTAATGTACATAGCCCATCACAGAATGATACTGTTGGTATGAGTACAAATCAGTAGTGTCTATTTTTCTCTTTGGTGTATGAAACTTTGACCTTATGACCTTTTGTACAAGTGATATTTTTAGGTTTTGTTTGATTTTACTAGAAATGTGTAAAGTGATCAGACTGATTTGGTTGTGTGATTTGTTTGTTGATAGTTTATTGAACATAGTTTAGTGTCTAAAAGAAATAGATGCAGATACTGACTGTTAAACATTTAAGCTTTGGTGTAAATTGAGTGTACCTGCCTTAAGCTTTGGTGTAAATTGAGTGTACCTGCCTTAACCTTTAGTGTAAATTGAGTGTACCTGCATTAAGCTTTGGTGTAAATTGAGTGTACCTGCCTTAAGCTTTGGTGTAAATTGAGTGTACCTGCCTTAAGCTTTGGTGTAAATTAAGTGTACCTGCCTTAAGCTTTGGTGTAAATTGAGTGTACCTGCCTTAAGCTTTGGTGTAAATTGAGTGTACCTGCCTTAAGCTTTTGTGTAAATTGACTGTACCTCACTTAAGCTTTTGTGTAAATTAAATGTACCTCACTT